GCGGCGCCGTGCGGTGAGTGGGGCCGGGAGGCGCCCGGATCTCGGGGCGGCGGCGCCGCTGGCCGGTTCCAGGGAAGCGGGTCGTGTGTGCAGCCGTCGCGGTTCAGAGGGAGCCTAGGTAGGGTGGGAATTGCGTTTGGAAACGAAGTGAAGCTCCAAATTGTCAGACTCCTTCACTCTGATTTCTGAAGAACAGCAGTAAAACAAATAAAACCCAACCTCAAACAAAACAAACAAAACTCCTCCACCAGTGGAAAGATGTAACAGTTAAAAGTCCTCCGAGTGTTGAAACTGGAGATGCGAAGGACAGCTGGAAAAGGCTTGAACACCGCTTTCCGGTGTATAGTCAGTGTGTCTGGCAAAGGAAGACAGCTGTTTTATTTCTGACAAGATCTATTTAAGAAGCACGTCGTATTTTAAATAATTTTCACATAACTGAAGAGGAAGCCAGCTAGGAAACCGCGATCCTGAATGTACTGCAGTCCAAATAGGAGGGAAATACAGCACTAATGCTCCTTCAGGCAGGGCACAGAAATGAAGATAAAGCAACTGAAAGCTGTGGTATTTGAGGGGACTGAGCCCAAGCAAAGAGATAATTTTCAAACCCAAGATAAAATCTCTGACAAAGCACTTAGCTGAGAAAAGCCTGCATCGTGCCGAAGCGTATGGAGTGTAGACAGCTGTCACATTGCGTTAGCTCTGCAATCCTAAGGTCAATGGCACGGGGGGCAGGAAGCGCGTGGAGTGTCAGAGAAGGCTCCACAGAATGTAGCATGTGGAGCTGTGCGCTTTTTGGCATAGAAGTCAAGCTAAGATAATGATTTGGACTCAGAAAGAGATTGAAGAGCTGTGAATGGCTCCATCACTAGCAACATTTCTCTGTTGGATCTAAAGACYTCTCAAAATATTAACTGAAGGACTTTTAAAGGCTTGAGTTATTTGGGAAAAATGCCACAGAGTTTATTTGTGCATGGAAGTGACACTGGATTATGAATTAACTTCAAGAGCCAGATAGAAAGGAAGTAGTGGTCTACTCAGCAAGGAAAAGTGTCGGGAAGCAGTAAGGACAGGCTTAATGTTCTTGACAGGTAATGTCAGAGTCAGAACTTATTCAGAGCAACAGGGCATAACACTGAATGTAAACAGAGGCTGGAACAAAACTAATTATTAGATGAAATTATTATTTAAAAAAACCCACTAAAAGCAGATTACTCTGATCTAACCTGTTTCTAAGAGAAGGCCCATGGGATGATTTAAACACCTAAGTGATGGCCCATAGGGTAGAATGAGAATGAGGAAGGCAGACTATTGTTTTGTAGATTTTGAAATTGGAAAATAATAATCTGCATTCAGAATGCATGTTAGGGAATCTGATGCAGAAATTACTGGAACAAAAAGCCAATTTATGTCTACAAGGAAGCATGTCTTTTGAAGAGTATGAAGCTTTCATGCTGTGCCCAGATTATAACATTTCCTCTTTGTTTTCTGCAGGGGTTATTTCTGCTAATTAAAATGAAAAAGGAAGAATTGCCCCTTTTTTTCTGACTTTTAAATTATAATATGCTGTTTAACAGAATGCTCTGTAGTGAAGTGGGCATGTGCTTGCTGATTTGTTGGCTCATGTCTTACTCATTTACACTTATGCATGGTATCTGTCCACCCAGTCAKATGATGAAAATACTTCGTAGTAGAATGTCAGTGAAGATACCTGCAGACATCWACTTAYATTTGCAAATTATTGTACTGCCAGCCTGCATTAAAATTACGAGAGAGAAATGTGGTATCATAGCTTGAGTGTGTTAGTGCAGCTCAGTAACTTTAGGGATCAGAAACCAACCATTAGGGATCTTGAAACCCAATATAAGGAGGAATTGCTCTTCCTTGCTCAAAATAGTTTCAGTATAATGACCATATGAGGATGGAACGCTTGTTTCCACCTGTCCCCTGCAGAAAAAAATTAAGATCCCTATTTAGATTCAGAAACTGGATTATATGCATCAAAAAGCTGACATTTGCCATATTGCATTTTGTTTATCACTTCATTGCTGTAAATTGGACACAGGCACAGACAAATCTGTGTTTAAGTATTTTCATATTTTACTGTAAATTACTGTTTGTACTATGAGTCCAACTTTGGGGCTTATGTTTCTTTCCTCTGAAGATATGTTTGCAAATGTATAGACTGGTTAAAAACAGATTTCCTCTTGTGAACTTCCAGAATAGAAACATTTCAAGAAAACTACCATTTTTAATGTTCATAAATAATGTAGTTTGTGAACTGCCAWTTCATAGCTTGAAGTTAGGCTTCAGATGCCCTAATGCAGTTGGTTCCATTCTTATAGTTGGCAAGTCAGGACAACAATTTAAGTTTGGTGGGAGTGTTATCACAGGTGATACATTAGCAATTTTGTATGAGATCCTGCTACTTCTGTCATGTTCTTCCACCAAACAACTGAGTTCAGGGATCTTATAGAAGATGGGTATTTTATTTCAGTTAAGTGAGATTTGTAAGAATAGTAAATATATTTTATGTCAGCTGCTGAAAAAGTGAAAGCACATCTAATTTCTTATCTTTCTGTAATAAATCTTACAGAAAAGATGTTGGAAAGCAAAGCCCCTTCTCCCTAAAAGTTGCGGTCTTTATTTCTCATCTCTAATATCTTTTTACAATCTTATCCTTCATGAAGGATACACTAACTAAAATTTGCATGTTCACACAAGGAAGTTGTTTATAGAGAAAAGTGGCTTTCATTTTTGATTTTGTAGCAGAGAGAAGTAGAGCAAGAAGTGCTGTGCAGACAATGAAACCATGTTAATTCTGGTCATAGCTTATTTTATTCTTTCTTAGATACAAAATTTGTTTGCTGCACTCATGCCTTTTTAGTATCATACCATGAAAATTAACATGTTGACATGGTTGGAACTGTTTTCCATGGATTGTTATATATGCGTGACATTTCATTGTGGTCATTCCAGAAAATTAAGAGCATTAGAGCTAAAATCACAAAAAAACAGCTGTATCCATTGTCATGCCAGACTTAGGAAAGCTGTTGGACTAGGTATGTACTTGCTCAAAATCTACCCATGACACCAAAGAAAAGCCAGGAGACTTTTTCCAAATCTTTGTAACAGTTTGTTTGCTGGACTGGTTACCTTTTATATATTTAAAAGAATTGAAAAGAAAATATATAAAAATTATTGGCAAAACTACACAAAGGGTGAACTTACAAAGTTTTAGCTAAAATAGAGAGGTATTAGACAATACCAAACAATCTCAGAATTAATAAATTATTCATACAAATGTTTCTCTTAAAAATAAATGTATATTTTTGAAACTACTAAATGAAGTATTTAATCATGAACCTAACAAAATATGCATTGGAATCTGAGTTTGGCCCCCACTTAATTGGAAATAGAAATCAATTTATTTCTCCCAGTGTTCACCAGTTACAAAGCAGCTTGGAAAGTACATGACTTGAGTAATTGGAAATCAAAACATTTTATATACTGAACAGCTGCATTCCTTAACAAAAATGTAGTAACATACATATATTGGAAGATGGGGCTGACTAGGACGTGTATAATTAGCAAATTTGTAAACAAAAGAAAAGTGTTAATGTTGGCTGAATTCATTTGTCAGTTATATTAAAGCAGGTCTGCTGAAACAACAGATTTTTCCACATTTACACTAGTTCAGCTAAGAGCAAAATTTGACCTCGGTTCGGAAGGGGGAATGCAGCTGAAGAAAAATAAGGAGTTTTCCCACTTAAGCAAGCAAGAGAAATGGTCAGTTATGTCTGATACTAAGTATTTATTGCCTGTAATTCTCCGTCAGCCCTATTAGAGAGCTGTTAATCACTGTTTACAAAAATATTTTCTTTTATGTGCAGATGATGACCTTTTTTCCAGTGCATTTTGTGAAAACTCTGAGAAGCTTATCAATGTACATTTGTTTGCCCTGGCTGCTAAGTATTATTCTTTGTCCAACCTTGGAGCGTGTACCCCATTAGAAGATGTACTTGAAGCACTGAAAGGAGACAGGGAAGGAGCAACAGGTACATTTATATTTGCATTTGAATGTTCCCTTCCTTCATTATAGCAGTGTAAGAGAGTTTTGGTTTCATTTGTTCCTAGATAGTTTCATCATTGTCTTTATTTACAAAATGGATTCTCTTGATAAAATTTGAGCATTTGGTATCTATAGACCCATCATGGCATTCAGTTTTAAAGGGGATGGGACAGAGAAGTAAGTACATGACTATTTGAGATGCCTTGTTATTTCTCTTTATTTGTCTTGTCCCCGAGTGGCAAGAATCATAGTTGCTACTCATGCTTTTCGTAGAAGTATCTGTCTCGGTTGGGAGACAATGTTTTCAGAGGAAAAACGTTACAGGGGGAATGTTTCCTCTGAAATGAAAATAAATTTGATAGTTTTTTCCACCAACAAGAAATAGATGCTGGGCAAAAAAAGGTGAAGAGAAAAAAGGTAGTTTATTAACAACAACAACAAAAAAAACCACAGTGCCCACAGGACACAGATAAAGAGTAACCGTCAGAGAACAAGGATACAGATAAAAAGTAACTGTCAGATATTCAAACAAAAAAGAAACTCGCCACGCAGCAAGGCAGCGACTCCGCCCCCGGGAAAAAAAAAACAAAAGGAAAACCCACGTGGCGGTTCTTGTAACAGTGGCAAAAGGGCAAAAAAACCAACCGAAAGAAAAGTACCACAGTCCCAGCTTCCCAGTGGATGATGAATCAGAGGGCTCCACGTGCCTCCACTGCCAGCCCGGTCCGCCCTGGAATCCCAGACCGAATGGAGCCGTGAGGCCCCTCCCTCGGCGGGACCCAGGAGCAGCAGGAGACGCAGAGGGGATGTTCGAGGAAAAGCCTCCGAAGCCAACCAACTGAGCCAGCAGAAACCGCGACACTGTAACTCTGCTCCATGCAGCAAGCCAGCGACTCCCATGACGAGAAGCAGAGAGAGAGAGAGAGAGAGAGAGAGAGAGCAGCTCGAGCAGCCAGATCGCGTGGCAGCCCTGGCCGTTAAACTGTCCGCTGTGGCTTCCCAGCAGCCCCTGCTCCTTCTTCCGGGTTACATGTTAAAGATACAAACATCTTTTTTGGCATAAATGGCAACGGAAAAGGAATACAGAACAAAACTGGCACCAAAAAATCAACCCAAGACATTCCACCCCTTATTCCATATCCGTTGGCTTTTACGCCCAAACTAATACATTCTAACTCTAAAGACAGACATATATTTATATACATATATACAAAATAGTGACAGAGACATACAGCAAACATTACATGCGGTTTTCATTCAAGATCAAATCCCCCTGAGGTACACAACGAGTTTCTCCGTCCTCCCTCATTATCCACCATGTGGAACCTGGGCCCTGAGCAAAAGCAACCCCACGGATGGGTTTGTCTTTGCTTGAGGCAGGATTAATCCACACATTCTTTCCTAAAAGACCTTTGAGGTGTACTGCTGGGACCCTGTCTCCATCTACTGTATACAGGGGTTCAGACTGGGCAGGGCCTGCTCAGTTGGTAGAGCCTCTGGTGTTTACCATCCAGGTAGCCTTTGCTAGATGTTGTTCCCAGTTTTTGAAAGTACCTCCGCCCAGTGCCTTCAAGGTGGTTTTTAAGAGTCCGTTGCACCGTTCCACTTTGCCAGCAGCAGGTGCATGGTAAGGGATATGGTACACCCAYTCAATGCCATGTTCCCTAGCCCAGGTGTTWATAAGGCTGTTCTTGAAATGAGTCCCATTGTCAGACTCAATTCTGTCTGGGGTACCATGCCTCCAAAGGACCTGATTTTCAAGGCCCARGATGGTGCTACGGGCAGTGGCATGAGGYACAGGGTAGGTCTCCAACCATCCAGTGGTRGCTTCYACMATTGTGAGYACATARCGCTTGCCRTGACGGGACTGGGGCAGTGYGATGTAATCWATCTGCCAGSCCTCTCCGTACTTRTACTTGTCCCATCTTCCCCCATACCACARGGGCTTCACCCGYTTGGCCTGCTTGATGGCAGCRCATGTCTCACAGTCGTGGATAACCTGGGAGATACTATCCATGGTTAGATCCACCCCTCGGTCTCGTGCCCACTTATATGTGGCATCTCTGCCCTGGTGGCCTGAGGCATCATGGGCCCATCGAGCTAGGAACAACTCACCCTTGTGCTGCCAATCCAGGTCAATCTGGGACACCTCTGTCTTTGCAGCCTGATCTACATGCTCGTTGTTCTGGTGCTCCTCATTAGCCCGGCTCTTGGGGACATGGGCATCTACATGGCAGACTTTCACGGGTAGCTTCTCCACCCAGGCAGCAATGTCTTTCCACTCTTCAGCAGCCCAAATCGGTTTTCCTCTACGTAGCCAATTGGCCTTTTTCCATCTGCCCAGCCATCCCCACAGGGCATTGGCCACCATCCATGAATCAGTGTAAAGGTAGAGCTTTGGCCAYTTYTCCCTCTCASCAASGTCCAAGGCCAGCTGGATRGCTTTGAGTTCAGCAAATTGACTTGATCCACCTTCTCCTTCYGTGGCCTGTGCTACCTGTCGTGTAGGGCTCCATACAGCTGCTTTCCACTTTCGGTTCATCCCGATGATACGACAGGAACCATCAGTGAAGAGAGCATAGCCTTTATCCTCTGCTGGCAGTTTGTTGTATAGTGGAGCTTCCTCAGCCCGGGTCACTTGTTCTTGTTCCTCTTCATCAGCAAGACCAAAGTCTTCACCTTCMGGCCAATTTGTAATTATTTCCAGGATCCCAGGGCGATTCAAGTTTCCTATACGGGCGCGCTGAGTAATGAGAGCGATCCATTTGCTCCAGGTAGCATCAGTGGCGTGGTGGGTAGAGGGGACCTCTGCTTTGAACATCCACCCCAGCACTGGTAATCGGGGTGCCAGGAGGAGTTGGGCTTCAGTSCCAATCACTTCTGAAGCAGCTTGGACTCCCTCATAGGCTGCCAAGATCTCCTTCTCTGTTGGGGTGTAGTTGGCCTCAGAGCCTCGGTAGCTTCGGCTCCAGAATCCCAGTGGCCGGCCTCGAGTCTCACCAGGGACCTTCTGCCAAAGGCTCTAGGACAGACCATTGCTCCCAGCTGCAGAATAGAGCACGTTTTTCACTTCTGGTCCTGTCCTGACTGGGCCGAGGGCTACCGCATGAGCGATTTCCTGCTTGATCTGGGTGAAGGCTTGCTGCTGTTCAGGCCCCCAGTGGAAATAATTCTTCTTGCGGGTCACCAAGTAGAGAGGGCTCACAATCTGGCTGTATTCAGAGATGTGCATCCTCCAAAAGCCAATGGCACCCAGGAAAGCTTGTGTCTCCTTTTTGCTGGTCGGTGGAGACATTGACGTGATCTTATTGATGATCTCTGTAGGGATCTGCCGCCGTCCATCTTGCCACTTTACCCCCAGGAACTGGATCTCTCGAGCAGGTCCCTTCACTTTGTTCCTTTTTATAGCAAAACCGGCTTTCAGGAGAATCTGGATGATCTTCTCCCCTTTCTCAAATACTTCTGCTGCTGT